ACACACACTCACACTCACACACACACACACACACACACACACACACACACACACACACACACACACACTGGTTGGTGGAGATCCATTCAAAATTCAAAATATACCGTATGGTAAGCATACAATCTACTGTAATGATCTTAAGACAATAAAACAGTAAGAAAAGGACACTTTCAGTCTGTGCTGTTTTTAATGACAGTAATGGGTCATGACAATTATTAAATGCTATTTGTCATCATAATCTTGTACTTCATATAAACACAAGTTATTCTTCACTAAATGTCTATGTATCACCTGAGGATGATAAAGATGTTCAGTATGGTTCATTATTCAACATAAACACTCATTCTATAATCACACAGACATTAAGAATTAAATATCTAGCCTAGGGGTGTGCGATGTTGACAAAAAATGATATCTCTGTATTTTGTGGGATTTTATCGATAACGATCGACAACCAGATGATATGTGGTCAGTCAGGTTATTTTGCTGAGTGTGTTGTGCTGCAGGACTGTTTTGGACAGCTGACTCTGTGGTGGTCAGTTCACAGCAGTGACAGAAATTAATCTTTTCCAACAAGTTTAAAATGATTTTTACCCTTTATGGCCATTTTTACCTTTGTAAAGCCATTTTTTCTAGAAGTGTGTCAAATTCTTACATTTAATCAATAAAGTCAATTACAATAATAAGACATTTGGGCCTCTTACCAAACAAATAAAATCATTATCACCAAAATTAATGCAATGCAGAGAAAACACAGAAGCTGCATCTAAAGTGGCATTTAGATGCATATACACAGTTTAATGCCAGGCATGAATGCTTTAACCTGCAGTTATAAATGCATAAATAATGTTTTGATATTGTAATCTTAAAACATTGAATACTGATATTTAAAATGATTAATAAATACATATATAAAGGTACTTTAAAATGTGAAGATAAAACCGCCAGTAGGTGGCAGCAAGTCACTGTTAATAAGTGAGTCGATAATTGCGATTGAAGCGAATCAGTTAAACGGCTGATTCATTCAGGAACGAGACGCAAACCAGTGCTGCTTTGTTTGGAACCATTTTTGTTGGCGAAATAGAGCAAAAAATGGACAATATGGTGTCTAAAACATAAGTCTCTTAATCTCTTAATATTGTTTATTGAACTGTTGTATAAAAATCACATTTTATCACACTCTGTGATATTGATCAGCTATATGCAATTATGCAATGATATACATTTTCTGCCCCCATATCTTGCATTTTGGGAGCATTCTAAATGCATTTTATTATATTGAATCATGTGAAAGAAGCGATGACTGATCTGAAGGCCTCTGATTGGCTACTGCATTCCTAAGCTCAACAGAACCGTGTGTGATTGGTTACAATGAGCAACGCTATAAAAATAGAATATGATGTAACACAAGCAGGTCTAAATTTAATACAGCAATCGAAACTTAATTTTATTGAAAAACCAGGGGACCCCCTCAAGTATATTTTTTGGGTTGTTATGGGGGGGTCCCTTAATGATTATCCCCCCCAGCCCCCCTCATTTCCAACACTCCTCAGATAATGATTGTGCTTTATTCAATGTTAAAAGTGTCTAATGTGAGTTTGAATATTATTTTGCTTTATCTTTATAGCCATAGTGAAAGCAACAATAGATATTTTACCTCAGATCTTGAAAATAAATTAAAGCAAACTCGTACGTTAAAACTGTGAACTCACTGCGAACCAACAAGTGTATTCCACAACAAAGATATCAGTCACTCACTCACACTCAATACTGATCATTTGAGCTTTGTGTCAGTACGTCAGAAACAGAAGGAGTCAGCAGTTTACTGTCGGGGATTTGTCGTGTCGCGCCGCATCCAAGACAGCATCACTGATTATAACCAGTTCTATTGTATTGTATTGTGTCCGGTGTAGACGCGATGTAAGTTAATGTAGCTTTCTGATGCTGTGTTTGAATTTTCATGCCACATTATTTGAAATTAGCGCGGGCCATACTTTTTTCTCTTACAGGCCGGATGTGGCCCGCTGGCCGCCTATTGAGGAACCCTGCTCTATGATAACAGCATCTGAGTGAAAGCATTTCATTTAAATGTTGAATAGAGATTGTGCATGTTTGTCTGGCTCTCTACAACACACACCCTAACAGAAAACACAACAAAAACACATGCTTTACTTTATTTATACAGTTTCTCAAATGAAAACATCCCTTTAGCT